CTGGCCTAGGGAGAATTTTAAATAGGGACAATTTTAATTATTATTTTAACATGACACAGCGGTAAATATTTGTTTTTAATTGGTTTTATTGGGATAATGCTTTGGTACTGTTTTAATATGCTGTGAGCCGCCCTGAGTCCTGTGGGGAGAAGGGCGGCATATAAGTCTAATAAATAATAATAATAATAATAATAATAATAATAATAATAATAATAATAATAATGGTGCTGGAGAAGGTTCCTGCGAGTCCCCTTGACTGCAAGGTGATCAAACTGGTCAGTCCTAGAGGAGATCTTTAGAAGGCAGATCCTGAAGTTGAAACTCAAGTACTTTGGCCACCTAATGAGAAGGAAGGACTCACTGGAGAAGAGCCTAATGCTGGGAAAGCTTGAGGGCAATAGAAGAAGGGGACAACAGAGAATGAGATGGCTGGATGGAGTCACTGAAGCAGTAGGTGTGAGCTTAAATGGACTCCAGAAGATGATAGGACAGAAGATGATAGGACAGGAAGGCATGGAGGAACATTGTCCATGGGGTCGCGATGGGTTAGACACAACTTCGCAACTAACAACAACAAAGGCAATTCATTATTGCTTGAATAAAATTAAAGTATTTAAAGTTCAAACGTATAAAAACATGACCTTTTTTTTTTTTTTGGCTAATCAAGTTCCAGCACAATCCTAGCACCTGGATCAGCCAAACAGAGGGGTTAGGAGGGATTTGCAGGGAAAAAAGCAGGAAAAAATAGTGAGAAAAAAATTAACACAATGCATTTCTCTAGTTCATACTTTGAGATATTTCTGCATATTAATATTTAACTTTTGATAATTTTATTTTTTATTACCAGCATAAGAACCAGTTTCCAAGTAAAATCTATGTGTAAGACCATAATTTGGAAAATAATTGCAATTTTATGTTTGTGTTTTGCAGCTTTTGCCTCTAGTTGCAGAACAACTTCAGTGGTTGCCATTTGTGAATCCTAATCTGCACTTTCCTGTGGTTAAGTGCATTTACTGGGCTGTAAGGCAGTTAGATGGAAGTACCCAGGTAAAATATATTTTCATGCAGGAATTGTGCTTTTCACTAAGAATGTTTCTCTGAACAAAAGAAAATGTTCATGTTTTATGGCATTAACTAATCTAAATCTTAATCTGCTTCTAGATGAGATGGGCAGCACATAAATCAAATAAATATTGAAATAATTAAATATTTAATCATAGGTAAATCATTTTAATATTAATACAATATATATTCCACAATTTTTCTTGTAAGACTCAGTTTTTTGTGAATCCATCTTCAGAGACTACTAGGATTCTAGATCTGAACAGATTGTTTTGTAAAATTGCAGGATTCTCTTTATACAATTTATATAAAATTTTTTATTGGCTTCAAGCCAGCATGATCTCCTTTTGTTTTTCTGCTTTGATGCAAATTCATATCAATCTTATAATTAATCATTATGGAATAATGCATCTTCATTACAGATTTATAATAGGCAGAAAATCTTCAGCTCTAATTCTAAATATAAACTGTAGTGTCAAACCTATTAAATGGTTTATTGCATTAAGTATTTATCTTTTGAGATCACTGGTTTAGAAGTACATTGCATATTTTAAATGACCAGATTACAGTGTTGATAATACTTGTCTATAACATTTACATTACCATAAAATGTATACCGTATTTATTCGAGTATAACGCGCAAAATTTTCTACCAAAAAAGGAAATCAAAGTTTGGGTGCGCGTTATAAACGAGGGCTGGGGTGGGGTGACGCAGTGGTGGCTGGTCCATTGAGGGCGCAGGCGAATTGTGAGTTCGCACTGTGCCTTTTCCGGGATTCAGCCACTCACGCGAGGGCGAAGAAAAAAAAAACGTCCCCTCGTCGC